CTCAACTCCTACCTCAGGCAGCTCACCTTTCCCCCTATGCCCAGGGGAAAGGTATCAAGCCGTTTGACAGCTGATGCAGGCTGTCAAAACGGCTTTTACGCAGAAACAGGCGGGAGCAGCAAACAGCTGCGTCCAGCGAAGGTGCCTGCCACCGGAAGTCTCTTTCTGCAGCTGTTACCTCTTCTCTCAGTTTCTCCTGTGCATTTTCCTGAAGGCCTCTAATTCTTATTGCATGTTCCATTTCTCTAAATTGTGCCATTACAATATCACTTTGAGCAATCTCTATACTTTCTTCTACTTTTTCCATTCTCTCCTCCACCCCTTCCATTTTTTCTCCTACTTCCTCCACACGGTTCTCTATACGATCCATATGAAAAGCAAAGCCCTGAAAGATTTGAGACATATTCTCACACAGTTCATCATTCTTTTTAGCAAGCAGCTCTTCTGTCTCCACTCTTACTTGTTGTACAATTTGTTTAGACATCTGCATCTGCATCAAAGAGTCCTGTAAATCCTTTAAAGTAATATAAGGTGGAGAGGAGGGTGGAGGAGTTTTAGCTCTCTGTTGCGTAGTCTGTACTGCTGGAGAGGAAACAGCTGACTTAAGTGCTGGAGGGGCTACACCTTGTTTAGAAGCCATTCTTAAGTTTAAAAAAAGTTTTAATATACAGTCCAAAACAGTTAAAAGTCAAACAAATTTTCCTTTAATTTTTCTTATTTTTTGGAGATTTTTCCTTAATTTTTGAAGATTTTTTGCAGTTTTAACAATGTAGCCATCCACAACCGGAAGGAAAGTAAAAGTGTCTCTTTAGAACAAAGAAGCGGCAAACCACAGCCATTTTTTTTTCTCCAAAAAGTAACTTTCGATTTTCAATCATTGAGAAGAGTACTTTAAACTCTGAGTCAAAGTTTTAAGTTCTTTATAGAAAGTCCAGGTTTTCCTAGTTAGCTCCGTCTGTTAAAAATACTCACAATTTAATTCAGAAAAAATCAGAAGTGGAGACGGCGTCTGGCTTCGCTAGCAGCGAAGACGTCCCGATCTGCGGAGTAGCTCTGAGCTCCGGAGGAGTTCTCACCTTCACCTCNGGAGGCTGTCAAACAACCCCCTTCGGCAGCCGCCGAGCCACCGGAAGTGGTGGCGAACCTTTTTGAGACCGAGTGCCCAAACTGCAACCCGAAACCCACTTACGCATTGCCGAGTGCCGGGGGCGTGGCCATAGTGGGAGTGGCTACATAGTGGGAGTGGCCACATAGTGGGAGTGGCCACATAGTGGGAGTGGCTATGGTGGTCATGATAGCGTGGGTAGGCGTGGCCTGGGTGGGCGTGGCCACCTCAATGTTACTCATGGGGACGGACACCTGTGGGGGCCGGACAGGGTTGGGGGAGATCCAGGAGGTCTCTGGCAGGTGGGACGGTGGGCAGGAGGCTCGTCCTGCAGGGTGAGGCGAAGCAAGACAAGGTGAGGCAGGGGGCAGGGCAGTAGAGGTGATAAAGCACGCCCACGTCCAGCAAGCCAAAGCTCTCTGTGGGCACGCGCCATCGCCCCAACACACATGGTCTCTAAAAGTTCGCTCCATGCAAGGGTTTGGGGCGGCAGGAGCAGGATGCTCCGTGCGGGGGTTGGGGCGGCGGGAGAACGCTCCGTGCAAGGGTTGGGGCGGCGGGAGGATGCTTCGTGCAGGGTTGGGGCTGCAGGAGAACACTCCATGCGGGGGTTGGGGCGGGGGGAGCAGGACGCTCCATGCGAGGGTTGGGGCTGTGGGAGCAGAACACTCCGTGTGGGGGAGAGCAGAATGCTCCGTGCAGTAAGTAAACTTTAAAGACAGTTTTAAAAGTATGGCAGTATTTGAGAAAATCTTGCCCCTTACATGGGATCAGGTTTTTTTTCTCCACTCCCTTTGGCTGTCTCAAAAAGGTTCGCCACCACTGGTATAGGGATTCCTGCTTGAGCAGGGGGTTGGATTAGAAGACCTCCAAGATCCCTTACAACTCTGTTGTTCTGTTTCAAATATCTGATTAATTCTATCTAATTCTGATTCTTAAGATTCTCTAGAGCAGGGATGTCAAACTGCCGGCCCACGGGCCGGTTTCATCATATCAGAGCCGCGCCCACCCCATTGCCGGCAGTGGCGAAAAAGCTCCGATACGTCGCACGACATCACGTGACGTCGCAAGTTTGACATGCCTACTCTGGAGTCTTCTGATTCTTTGGATTTTTTTGAATTCATCTCTCTTTTTTCATTTACAAAGCATTCTTTTATGTCAATAAAATATCTGTCTTCAAAGGAAGTTACATTCTTATACACCTACAGAGGAAATACAGGCTTCCTCCCTCATGTATTTTTAAAAAATCATTTTGCAAAATTATAGATCTGGCACATATAATATTGTCTAGAGCAGGGGTGTCAAACTCACAACGTCATGTGACGTGTCACGATGTATCATGACTTTTTTGCCATTGCCGGGAATGGGGTGGGAGTGGTTTTGCTATGATGCATGCGGCCTGCTGGCTGGCAGTTTGACACCCCTGGTCTAGAGGTCCCTGTTGTGGCTTGCATAACCTAGTGTATTTGAGAAACAAATTATTACAATCTATGTTAAAGTGTATATTTTGTTATTTATCTCATATTATATTTATATGTATGTATGTATATGTATCTATTTCCCAAGTTGGGGGTGTCTGTAAAGCCTTTGAAATTCCTTTTTGCTATTTTTCCCATCTCTTCAAAGCTTGTAAATTCAACTAGAGAAGCACATTTTTTCTTTAAAATTCAATGTCTGAGTCACAAACAGACTCTTTTAAATGCATCTAGCCCTGGTGGTCATTGCAGAAAGATCTTACCCGTTGCTAATCCTTCATAAGCCTCAAGTTTAATTGGTGCCTGTCCCTTTAACTGAAGTTAACTCTACACATCGTACATTACAGTCCACAGATCAGATTTTGTTTAAATTCTTAGTACACTCAGTTCTGTTTACTTCTGCAGAACCAATTGGGAATTACACTTAAAAACTTATCTTCATCTGGCTAGACTCAGATTAAAATAAACATAACCTTAGAATCCATCTTTGCAGCACCCACCAGTGACGCTTTCTGTCCATTTACAATAGCAAATAAGTGAAGGGACCACTAATGAGTTTCTGAATGTATAGAAAATCAAATTATGATAGAAGAACCTCATGGTATTTCCAATTGCTTGTGCCGATAGCTAGTTACTGTAACTGCCAACAACGAGCACGAGTGGGTTGCTCTCTAACAGAACTTGGAAGAAAATAATGCTTAGTTGCAAAGACAGGGAACTTCTTAGCCTGGATAGAGAACTTGTTTTCCTCCCAAAGTTTTGAACTTCAACATCCCTTCAATCCCCGTCCGCACGTTCCAAGACTCGGCGTAATAAACTCTCGCATCTGCCACCTTTCTTAATTTACATCGCTACTGATTTGGGCGCGTCCAAGAGATGTAAGGTAGGGAAAACCCGAGTACTGTATTACGAGAGAGAGAGAGAGAGAGAGAGAGAGAGAGAGAAGCGCTCCCGGGTGCTGAAACCGCGGAGCGCACGCGCCATGTGAAACTCGCTCCGAGAGCCGCGCGGCACACGAGACGGACAACCGCAAAAGAAGCCGACCAGCGGCCCCGGCGCCATTTGCTTCCTGGATCGAATATGATTCGGGGCTTTCGTTCGCCCCTCTTTTTTTTGTGGCCGCTGTTTCTGCTGCTGGAGCTCCTGTCCCCCGCCTCCCTCACAGACGGTGAGAACGAGGCTGCCTGCCTGAGCAGGGGGTTGGACTAGAAGACCTCCAAGGTCCCTCTCAGCTCTGTTCTTAATTTAATTTAATTTAATTTAACCTGTTCGTTGCTCCGTAAGGCAATGGCCTTTGAATGAGCTTGTTCTCAACGGTGCTCAAAAGACCGAGTGGCAGAAAGCACCGCTGCTCCCTACAGCCCTAATTCATGTTGATCCCGTGGTGGGGGTGCAGGCGCTCAGGGTAGCCCTAACCGACCCCTCCCCAGCTTGAAACCTCCGTAAGGAAAAAGCTCTGCTCGTCCTGCTGAGATTTCGGCAATCTCTTGTCAACAAGTATCGGATTCCTCCCTCCTCTTCCTCCCTTTTGTGCGCAAAATAGAGCCCGTAATTACCGGCTATTTCTCTCTTTGGCAAATTGAAACAAATTCAGAACTAGACCTAGAGCAGGGGTAGTCAACCTTGGCTCTTTTATGACTCGTGGACTTCAACTCCCAGAATTCCTGAGCCAGCATAGCTGGCTCAGGAATTCTGGGAGTTGAAGTCCACGAGTCATAAAAGAGCCAAGGTTGACTACCCCTGACCTAGAGGAACAGATTCATCATACATACTCTTCGTTATCATAGGTCATTCCTAACCCATTGTTTCATCTGGCCCAGAAGGGAAGGGAACTGGGGTGGGAGTGTGTTTGGGAGCTTCAAAGATCAGAAGGTTTTTTAGTCGCTTGCATATTGTTGAATATGTATTAGAGTTACAGAATTACTTGAACAATAAAGCATTAACAATGCAATTAAAAAAAAAAAATCAAATGTGATACAATACTGTATGTCTATGGACGGTCTCAATCATCCAGGTCACAGTGGTCCCAAAGATGCTTTTTCCAAAAAGCAACTGGACTTCCTTGCTTTTTTAAAAAAAATATTTCACTTCTCGTGCACTGAAGAAGCTTCTTAGCTAAGAAGCAGAATGTTTTCAAAAGAAAAAAAATGAGAAAATCCAGTCGCCTTTTGGAAAAAGCACCTTTAGGACAAGTGTAGAGATACCAAAGAAGCCCATATTAGCTCTATGAATGCTTTGAAAGTGGGTAATAAATCATGAATTTTCTATTAAGACATGCATGTGTTGTTAATCATGCCCTATTTAACATGACCTTAAGCATATGGAACTCCATTTCACTGAGATCAAGTATTTATTCCACATTTTTCGGTGCTGAGAACAATCTAGCAAAAAAGAAGTATGCATATTGTATTAACTAATACATGCTTTTGATGCTTTTAAAATTGTACGAGGAAAGATGTGCTAGTCTGGATAACAAAAAATCAGAAGGTACCTGTTTCTGACTAACTAATTTTATTAAAATTAAGATTAAAATTAATTTAAAATTAATTTAAAATTAATTTTCAGTCATAAGCTTTTGTGAGTTGCAGCCTTTTAGTAGAATAGAATAGAACAGAACAGAACAGAATTCTTTATTGGCCAAGTGTGTTTGGACACACAAGGAATTTGTCTCCAGTGCATAAGCTCTCAGTGTACATACAGGTAATAGTGACAAATCATGATCATAAACAACATAAAAATACATTCATCATAAATCACAAAATACAACATTTCATCATAAATCATAAGGTGCAACACTTAATGATAGTCATAGGATACTAGCTAAGCAAACAACATACTACGATACTAAGTAAAACAATATAAATTGTAAGATACAAACAACAAAGTTATAGCCATAAGAAGATAAGGATAGGTAATAGGAAAGATGAGGAGAATAATAGTAATACAGCTTTACTAAGCAGTTTGATGGTGTTGTAGGAATTAGTTGTTAAGCAGAGTGATAGTGTGGGGGAAAAACCTAAACAGAATAGAATTGGTTGATTAGAAAAGATACTACCAGACACCTTATTTCAGGCTGTTGAAGGCCATTTTTAATGTTTATGTCGCTATCCTCTGAACAAGAAAAGTGGTAATTTTTTTCCCCATCAATTTCTAGTACAGGTAATCCTCGACTTACAGTAGTGCATTTAGTGACCATTCAAAGTAACAATGTCACTGAAAAAAGTGACATGACTGTTTTTCACACTTGCAACCATTGCAATATCACCATGGTCACATGATCAGAATTTGGATGCTTGGCAACTTGTTCATATTTATGATGGTGTGTCCCAGGATCCTGTGATCATTTTTTGCGACCTTACAAGCAAAGTCAAGGGGGAAGCCTGATTCACTTAACAACCATGTTACTAACTTAACAACTGCAATGGTTCACTTAACTGTAGCAAGATAGGTTGTAAAGTGAGGCAAAATTCATTTAACAAATGTTTTTTGGGCTCAAAAGTTTTGCTTAATGAGAAATGTTGGGCTCAGTTGCGGTCTTACCTGTAATTTCTAATTCTCAGGAGCTAGTTTTAATATATTGTTGAATATTGGTTATGTTTTAATCTTTCAGAGAAATATTTCTTATCGTTAAAACTATTTTGATTTCTAGAATGTGGAACAAGGCCTGCAGTAGATGAGTCCATGATGGGCTCCCGGATTGTAGGTGGACAAGATGCTGAACCTGGGGCATGGCCATGGCAAGTCAGTCTTCAAATTCATTACAGTGACAGAGCATATCGTCATATATGTGCAGGAGTTTTAATCAGTAACAACTCAGTGCTGACTGCAGCACATTGCATTCGAGATTATCCGTATGTATTTTTCAGTTCCAAATGATTTTCTGTCCATTTTTGGTGAATGAGTATATAGCAATAGCACTTAGACTTATATACCACTTCGCAGTGCTTTACAGCCTGACTAAGCAGTTTACAGAGTCGGCCTATTGCCCCCAACAATCTGGATCCTCATTTTACTGACCTCGGAAGGATGAGTCAATTTTGAGCTAGTGAAGATCAAACTGCTGGCAGTCAGCAGAGTTAGCTTGCAATACTTGCTTGCAATACTAGCTTGCGGCCGTTTCTGGACCGGGACGCCTTACGCATGGTCACTCATGCCCTTGTGACTTCCCGCCTGGACTACTGCAATGCTCTCTACGTGGGGCTTCCCTTGAGGAGCACCCGGAGGCTCCAGCTAGTTCAAAATGCGGCCGCGCAGGCGGTGTTGGGAGGGACTCGTCGCTCCCACGTCACGCCGCTTTTGCGCGAGCTGCATTGGCTGCCGGTAGCCTTCCGGGTGCGCTTCAAGGTGCTGACTATTATCTTTAAAGCGCTCCATGGCATCGGACCTGGTTACCTTCGAGACCGCCTCCTGCCACAGACTACCCCCCACCGACCTGTACGCTCTCACAGAGTGGGTCTCCTCG